ATAAACAACGCAAAACACTGGCATTTGGAGTTTCTGCTAGTGATCTCTATGGAGAGAAAAATCACTTCCTGCCCTCCAGCTGCATTCCGCACGTCATCAGGATCACGTGATTGCAAACAACCTATAGCTAGTTCGAGATATAACGTTACATCTGTATTAGGCTTAATTAGGCTATATCTGTAAGGTTATTTCTGTTGTGAATCTGTGGATGTCTCCCTGATTTCCTTTTTTTTATTTATTTATTTTTTTTTTTTTCTGCTTACCAGATGTTTGTTGGCATGAAAATCGGATCACCACTTGGCTCCACCGCGATCACTATTGCAGAGGTATTGATTCAATTTTAACTGATGTAACGTTACAGTAAACGTGCACATTTTCATGGGAGCTTTGGCCCATGCCCATTTAAAAAAAAAAAAATAAATAAATAAATAAAAAAATTCAATTTGTGCATGTGAAGTTAATAATGGTAAGACTGAAGTCGTGGCCCTGATCGAAGTCGGTACCGTTCCTCTATAACGGGTCCGGTCAAACAGGAGCCGAAAGCAACACTTTTACCGACGGTCGCTGTACGGTTCACCTGTAGCTGTCCCAGCAACATTAAGGAAAAGGACAACCGGAACTTGTCTTCACGGATGTCTGTCTTTAAGTAGCCCTGCGTAATGTTAGCGGTTTCTCTTCCTTGCAGGTCGGGTGATGCAAAATGAGTTGATTTATAAATAAGATGTCCCATCAAAATACTGCTTGATGTCCGAGTGAGCCCTCTCTAAGAGGTTGGTATCCGTTTTAGGTTTTTCGTTTCATTACTGGCTGTGATGACAAACTTGCCCTCTCTGAGAGAGCAGCTCTATTATGAGACTAAAGTAAACGCTCCTGAGCCAAATTTGACTATTTATGGTGTTCCATTGGTATCTCTGGCTTTAATGTTGTTTTTGCCTCTTCAGGTTCAGCATCTGTAGTGTGTTTTGCACTGTTCCTGAGACTGTGCTCAGGTTCTCCGACAGCGTGCTGAATCAACAGGCAGACTTTGGCGTCCGCATCGGTCACTCGACTGTCCAACACTCCCCACTGGCCGCTGAAGTGATCTTGCATGGTGGTTTCTGTGTGCTCTGTTAATAGTTACAGGTGCTGATGACCTGTAGGACTGGTGGAGCTCGTGCAGGTACGTTGCTGTCAGCTTTTAATGAAGTACAGTGATTCCTGATCAAGGATGACGAGATGTTATTGGTGACTGCTGGATGAAACTTGCGGATATGGGACTGAGATCAGTGCTTGGTAATTGTCTGTGCTGTCTATTATGACTTGTGGTAACTTATTATTATTATTATTTTTTTTTAAATGTCTTCAGCAGCTCCTGACCAGCAAGTGGAAGTTGTAAAATGAGTGATGCAAGTCAAACCTAATATTAAAGTGTGGCTTGGTCTTTCATATCCTGTTCATGGTCATTTGTTTGTTGGATCAACTCTGTAAAATAGAGACTTGTTAGTTGCATGCTACCAGAATTTGGATTGTTGCTTTTTAATGTCTCTTTAAATTCTTACCTGTTCTGTAAAAGTGATTCAGTTGAGAAAACTGATATACTGTTTCTGCTTGTGGCAATGCTGGGCTTGATGCAAAATTTGTACTACTTGATGAATAAAGTACAAAATATCAATGACTATTTACACTTTGCAAAAACTAAAACGGCGTTTATTACAAATGTGAAATACTTGATTACAGTATCAAGCCTAAACTCAGAACACACATCTTAAAATATTTAACTGTCCTAAGTGAACAGCTGACTGCTAGTTGGTCCATAACAGTTGGTCAGTGCAAGTTTGTGTACAATGGAAAATGAGTTCAATACAAATGGAGCTGCCAGTCTTCATGTCAAATCCTATTCCCTTGAAAATGGACAATATAAAACTGCATTTCAGTAGCACCTCCTTTCCAGAGAGCAGGCCCTGAAAGAAACCAGAACAAGTATAAACAGACTTATCTGGAAGTCATGCTGTATATGAATGCAAACACGTACCATTAACAGATTCATTCTGGAGCGAGTGAGCGTAGTTTGAAGCCCGCTATCTCTGAGTTTGGAGAACTGCTGCCGCTCCGGTCACTGTATGTTTCTCTGTCAACAGAAAACCGCTTATTTGGTATAATGCAAAACTCCTCAAACAAGGTTCTGACAGCTGTCACCATAATGATAGAAGACATTTTGTCAGAGGTCTGTGTTCATGAAAGAGCAACCAGTTTTTATTATGAGAAATCTCTGGATGACGCTGGGTGAGAGGAATCTGGCCGCTCGGAGAACATCAGTCCATACCGTGGTGAGAGCCAACAGCCTTCCTGAAGATAACCTGGAAGCCTCCCAGCTGCAGCCAGCAGCAGGCCCAAGTACGGCGGAGACGGTTTTATGGGTCTGGATGTGAATTCTGGGTGATACTGGACACCAACAAAATACAGGTGATCTGCAACAACAACAAACTGATTGTCAAATTAATGGAGTAGACAAGAAAAGCATGTTCTTGATTTCTTGTCAAATGACCACAGAAATAAATTACATCAACAATCAACAATGAACCGACTGTTTTCTATTGTCTTTTACAGCAGAGCTGAATTTTGTCTGCATCACTGACAGTGTTTGGAGTAACGCATTACAAAATGATATTACAGTAGTATATTACTTTTTGCTGTAACGCAGTAATATAACGCATTACTAATAAAATTTGGGTAATATTACTCGTTACAATCTCAGTAACGCAAGTTACAACAACATATTTTGGAATTAGATGGTTGAGATGACTGCAGAGACGGATTCTACATTTGTGAGATGGACACACTCCTGTTGTTTTCAGTTTATCGGAGAAAAGGATAAGAAGGTGCAATATGTGCGACACCAAACTCTCAACATGGAGAAATAGCACGAGTAAAACCTGGAAACACTGGACTGGTGCCACTAACACCAAGCTATCGGAGAGAGCTGCGGGGTCGGAGAAGAGGAAAAAGGCAGCGGACGAGCACAGACAAGCAACAAAAATTAAGTTTAACTAAAAATAACAAAATCTTTTTTATTAAATCAGTCTATATATAAAATGAATAAATATGTGAAATATTTGACAGCCTAATTAACAGATTAACAAAACGAAATGAAAAGACTTGAGATATATGCTGCTGAGTTTGGTTCACAGGCTATTTGTGTGGCGCGGCGCTCTACGAAAGTCCACGGAAAGGAAACCGAGATGACGGAAATAAAAGTAAACACATTGCAGTTTCGAATGATCTGTATGACCAAAAATAACAGAGTATTTTGTTGTTTGTTTCCGCTGGCGCCTCACGCACACACATAGGCCTACAG